CAAACACATCATCGTTCCAGTTCAAGCTGCAGCCATCCGAATTCAATGAAGAGCCGATGTCTAAGTGATTGGTCTTGTTATTTTACTGTTAGTTAGTTGTTCGAATCTCTTCTGGTAATATATAGCAATAAAAATAAATCTATATCGGCCTCATAAAGAAAAGAAAGAAAAAAAAGAAGATTTAAGACAGAATGGGAATGAAATATTAGTCACTACTGAACTGAAACTATTTATCTCAGTGTCCAAATTATATAGTAAGTGCACCATTAGCATAAAAATTAAAACAAAATCTGATTAAGTACGACTTGCTGGTAAGTTTAACCAGTAGAAATTTTTGGGTTTGTTGTTTTGTTGCTTGATCAGTTATAATTAAGTTATACAAAAGATGAATTAGTTGAAAGAGAGGGAAAGGATGAAGTATGCTGCCGGTAATTACCGCTAAGGCGAAAATGTGGATGGAGTAGCCAAGGATGGCGGTACACAGCCATCTGCGTTATCAGCAAGATTAGATATCATCAGTTATACGTATATATAAGTATCGACCGCAGCTGTGAAGAAAGAAATGCAGATTAAGGAAGAAGAAGAAGAAGAAGAGAGAAGCTCTATCGCTGGAATGAAGGAAGGCGGCGGCGGTTTACGCACGTGGTGTAGGAGTCCTTGTAGTAGGCTGGATAAAGGTAGTAATTGTAGAAGAGAATGGGGGCGTAGGTGCAGGCCAGCGCCAGGAAGAGAGTCCTTAATAATAATAAGCCTCTCGTCGCCCCCATCGTCGGCTGTGGCTGTGGCTGTGGCGGCTCGTCGGAGGAGGAGGGGGGTACTTGAGGATCTCCGGCTATGATTTTGGGATTGGTTGTTGCGGACTTGCGGTGGGAGAGAGAGGTCGCCAAAGCTTCTTTTAAGGGCGATTAGGGAAAGAGGCAGGTGGCTAGGAATGGCAATGGGGCAGGTCCGGGGCGAGTATCTCGATACTCATATCCGCTCGTGGCAGGTTGGCTCCAGGTCGTGTAATTTATCACGGGGCGCGGATTGGGGCAGGACGGTATGAGTATGTAATCTATATGGAAAGCATTAGAAATATTAGGTATTTTCACTATAAGACCAAGAAAAAAATCATAATATGATAAAATATAGTTAAATTATTGAAGAAATTGAGGTTTTCACTAATTTACAACTTTATAACAGCTAAAATATGATGTAATAAAAATAAAATCATAAGTAATTTGACTAAAATTACATGTAATTTAGTCAAGAACGGGTCAGGGCAGGTTGAGTCGATGAGGATACCCATGCCCGCCCCGCCTAGCCTACAGAGCGGGTCGGACCGCCCCAAAACAATTCAAACAGATCGGGTAAAACAGATCAAATCAAAATTGCCATCCTTCAGGTGGCATCGCGGAGAAGTCCAAATCTGGAAGCCAATACGTTGGTTTGCTTGCCCCCATAATTCCTTCCAAAAAAGCCCAATAAGTGGGGAAAAATATTACATGAAAACGGAAAAGTAAAGTGTCACAACTAATGACCGGCTCTCTCTAGTGGTGGGATTCGGCTGAAACGGTTCAGAACTTGATCGAATTGAAATAGAACCGAATTAAAAGCAAAGGAACAATATGACCAGAATCAAGCCCAAAGTATCTATTTATCTTCTATACTATATATTATAACAATTCAAAAATAATCTCTTGCCACATAAATTCTTGGTTGATCTATAAATTGTCAAGTTGGACAACTTTTTTACAAATAATTTATTTATACTACATTAAACTCCTCAAATGAAGAGGAATCGCATGTGCAATAATTTTATAATGTGTCCTAAGTTCACATTAATAATATTTGCTCTATATCATGTTGATTGAACAAGCTCTATTAAGGTCCTAAGTCGCATGCTAAAAAAATTTCTTTCAGATTGGAGTTATCATTGACGATTATAAATCAAAATTTTCAAAATGACTTAAGTATGATTATTGACGAACTTTGACTTCATACCCTAGGATGAGACACAAGATTCCTTGAAAAATAACATTGGTGAAGGTTAGAGATATCTTTGCTAAGAATCTACGATAAACATCACGTTTCATCATCTATTAACCTAGGCATTTACCAAATAAAGGCTGACAATTTTTAGTAAGATAGTCAATTGGGATAAACATATTTATCCAGCAATCAAATATCTTTATCCAATAATCTCAACTCTCAAAATTGGTTGTCAGTTCGTCCAAACTCAAGAAACACGAATTTATATATGTTGTATAAGATGATAAGTTAATACAAATAATCAAATGAAATTCACCGATATTCTTCAAATGATAAGGCATTTTGAATGCACTTGAAATATGTGTGTATTGTAGACACTCTTTATCAATTATTAATATATAAGTGATAAAAACTTTGAAAATTACACATTCAACGATCATGTTAAGACTAAAATCCTCGATATTGTGTGTGAGTGTCTTAGATTGAGATTCTAAGCCAACATATAAACAATGACCATGGGTTGAGGTTTAGTCTAAACTTCAAGAATTAACAATTGATACATATTGTATAATATACTAAATTTAAGTGTATTGATAAAAAAAAAACTAACATCCAAAATGGAAATAAGTCGAGATTAGAGAATTTAATCATCATGATGGCTATGGTGTGTGTCAAAGTTTCAATATGGATGAATAAATTGATCCAATACTAAAGTACCTTTACTAAGAATTTCTCACTAAAAAGTCCTAATCTTTACAACATTGGTCAAAAGTTCGTCCAAACTCGAGGATATCAAAAAATTAGACCTATTTGTAGAACTTCAAAAGTTTAGGTACCAAAATCTAATACACAATAATTTAGGTACTAAAATGTAATGTTAAATCAATATTTTGAGGACTTATAGCCAAAAAAAAATGAATCTAAAGATCTATTAAGTTTATATACAAAACTGTAATTTGCATAGTTGATGATTAATTCCTTTTATGGTGATGTATTTAAGATGATAATTATGTACTTTTTATAGAAAAATGGAAATTATCTATTTGATATGTGTAGATACCTAGCCAAACATTCCATGTATAATTGTTGAAAATTCTAGCCCGGGTGAAAAGGAAAAACTCTAGAGAGAAGTAAAAGGAATAAAAACTGGAACTCGCTTGAAATTTCACGCTTTCAAATCCCATAGTGGAAAATGATGACCTTCTAATAAGTAATAACCATATATATTTATTTTTAATTGGACTCGACATTGAGCTGAAAAAAGTTATTGGTCATGGCTCAATTATTAGTTCTCTAGACTGTTGTTGAGTCGTGTATGGACTCGTTCATACTTGTGATTAAAAAACTCCTGGGACCAAAAACTCATAAAATTTAGATACCAAAACATAATTGCTAAGTAATTTTACACTAAATATATGAAATATATCAACTTAGTTCAGTCATATGCTACAGTGATACACAAAATTTCATGTGTTTAATAATATCACCAGACAATGAGCACCAAAATTCTTTGTATCTTTTTCAAAACCGAATTATGGTTATATGGCTTAAATATGTTTGTGACCAATTGGTGAAAGAAGTTACAAGAAAAGTCATGTACATATAAATATATGCATTTTTCATTTTTAAGGATTGAATTTGACATTTCTCGCATATCAAAATGATATCATTATCTTTTCTTTTATGCTATTCGAACTTCTTTCTATTCTCATTTTTTGTACGTCATTAAATATTCTTCCATGCACAATTATAAAAATATTGTCTTTACTTTTTTCTAATGTAATTATAATTCCTTTCTTTTATTTTTTTATTGTTTGACATAAGTTCTTTTCTTTTTTCCTACATGAGTGTAGATGTGAAAATTTGAGTCCTATTCAGATGCATTACCTTTAAGAATATATCTAGCTCGAAAAGACTTATTGTCTCTCCCTGTGACCATGGCAGAACGTGGAGTATTCTGTTTCCCGTCACCCACCTCTCAGCTCTTATTAGCTTAACTTAACTGTCAAAATACACTCGATATTTTATATCTCATTCATTCATCACTACACGCCATATCACATTTATCATCTCAAACTCAAGGAATTCATACATTCACAACATAAGGACTATCATCAGTCTCTTGATAACTCACTGTATAAACATGTATGAATCAAGTATCACATCATAATGACATCATCATGTAACCCCGTCCCAACATAGCAAAACATCACACCATCTCATGGTCTATCATTTTATAAAAAATTATAGAAAACCATAACGTAACCATCATTATCGACATGCACATTTCATATATCACATCATAGGAAGTCATCACTTAGCCACTCATAAGTAATCTTTATACAAGGATTCAATCACATTAATGGTTAGGTTAAGTGCATTTTACTTCTTAATTTGCAAGGCCATACACTCCCGAGACTAGGTTTCACCTATTAGAGAATATGATAGCATCATGTCCCAAACTCCGTTAATTCATGGTCTAAATATCGACTGTACAGGAGTACGGTAAGGTGGCGTACGCGAATTTAAACCACACACAACTTATGAAGTTGAAAATTGTTGGTCAATCAAAGATCATATGGTCATGAATACTAATTTCCAAGTGGCGATGAAGTTACAGTGTTGTTTGACATTATTGTTGATTATGATTAAAAACTAGAATAAATGTAGCGCCCCTCATATTAGATAAAACAGGGATCATAGGTAACAATAATAAATAAATATAAAAAGTAGGAATTTGAAACCATTAAAAAAATGAAAAATAATAAAAGGTAAAGTACAACCAAATGACACTCGCTGCCTATCAGGCGGGTACAAAACTAGTAATTATTGATGGACTTTCAAAATACACGATTTTTCAATGATTGTGGTTTCTCAATGGAATGACATAATAACATTGACAATACATACCCTAAATTCAAAGCTTATAACCAAAGATCACCCTTATTTAAAAAACAAATGCCAACAAACAGCTGCGGATTCAATTAAAACAAAGATTAATGATTACAATACTAATGAATGAAGCTGCTTTAGGGATGGTGTGGAATTGGGACGAGGACAAGATCGTTTTTCCTTCCTACTTCCGTCCCAAAGCTTTCGGACATATCCAACTCTTGGGGCATCATTCCGTTTGGCAGCTTCCAGTCAAAATGGTAGAGTAAATTTGCAATCACAAGCTTGATTATAGCAAGTCCATAATGCATGCCAGGGCAGATTCTCCGTCCCGCTCCAAATGGAATGAATTGAAAATGGAATCCCTTGTAATTAACAGAGCTATTCAGAAACCTTTCCGGATTGAAAGTTTCTGGCTCGATCCAGTAATCGGGATCTCGACCAATTGCCCATGCATTAACTATGACCCTAGTCTTGGCAGGGATCCGATATCCATTAATCACCGTCGTTTCTTGACATTCCCTTGGGATTGTCAAACATCAGGAGTGTGCAATCTCAAAGTTTCTTTTAAAACAAGTTCCACGTAGTGTAATTCACCTATGTCTGCTTCGTTCACATCTTTTCCGTTTCTACCAAACACTTGTCTGATCTCTTTTTGTGCCTTTTCCATGACGTCCGGATTCTTCATGAGCTCGGACATTACCCATCCTGCCGTGATAGTCCAGGTTTCAGTCCCAGCAAGAAATATGTCCTGGGAAAAGAATAATATAGTGAATCATATGAACCTATGCATTTCTTTTATTCATAAAAAAAATACTCACAAGGATGACAGCTTTGATCTCGACGTTGGTGAAAGGGAATCGGAGGTCGTCATTCTCCTTGAGATTCAAAAGAACGTCCACAAGATTGTCATAGTTATTGTCATCTTCGTCATGTTTTGTTGATCTTTGTGTCTTATGGTCGTTGATTACAGCTTCCATGATGGCATCCGCTGCTGCGTGAATCTTCTTCAGTTTGGATTCGAATCCTGTGATGCGACGCAACAACTTGCTGGAAGGGAACACGTCCACGAGGCTGAACCCACCCACCGTCTTAGTAATCTCTTTTATGAATGGCACAAATGCTTCCCGTTGCTTCTGGGTGCTACTGCTCCCCCCAAATACTGCACGTGAAGTGATGGCGTTCCCCAGAGAACTAAGCATTCGAGTTAGGTTGACACCTGAAATTGTTGCGTATCCAGTCAGGATCGTTGGAGGTTTGGATTGGATTAGATCTTCAATTAGAAGAGGGAAATTTGGGGAGATGGGGAAAATTTGGGCGGCAGGGGGCAGGCTCTGACGGTGGGGGAGGGGATTTTTTATTATTTAAAATTGACGTGTCATTGAGTTAACGATATAGTTAGTAGTCTCGTTTGTTACGTCATACAAAATGACAGAGTTAACAGAGTATGACGTAGATTAACAGTCGGTGGCTAAACAGTGAAACGAATCGTAAAGTTAGTAATCAATAAGAAATAAAAGTAATTCGGGTGGTATATGTGAAAGATCTATGTAATTTGAGTGACCAAACTTGTAATTTAGCCGGTAAATATTTATGGTTAAAATTTCTAAATGAAGTCATTCTCGGTCGATATTTTAAATGAAATTTCCAAATAACTCATACAATTAACTCATCCAAACGACCCCGGGTGTTGGAGATAAAAGGCTATATAGAAGGGGGGGGGGGATTAGGGTAAAATTAATTGTGGATGATATAGTTGGCTATACGGAAAAAAGAGCTTATGGTGAGATTATGTGTAGAAGATGGAAAAAATTACCTAAATAGGTAATTAATTGTGTATGAGAGAAAGAGTTTATGATAACATTGGGTGGGTGTGCGGGGATAAAAAGCTCTATAGTTAAAATAGAGGATAATTGAATGTAAGGGAATAAAAACCCTATTGTAATCCGTGTTCACCAAAAAATTTAATACTACAAATAATACAACTTACCCGATTTCTTACCAGCATCGCCACAGGAAGAGGCGATGGACGCCACCAGCTTACTCATCTCCGTTTCCATAGTGGGCTGGAGCGACTTGACGCGTTTGGGGCCCAACAACCTCACGGCGCAGACCTTCCTCATCTCCCTCCAGAACTCGCCAGGCGGAGAAAACGCGATGTCTCGGCTGCCGTATAATAAGATGTCGATGGCAGGCAATGTGGGCCTGGTGGCGAAGTTGAGATCGTGGGTCTGCATGATCTGCTTGGCCCATTCTGGAGACGAGACGACAACGCTGGATACTTGTCCGAGCTGGAGCTGCATCAGAGGCCCGTGTTTCCTGGCCAACTCCGCCAGGCGGCGGTGCGGGAGAGACGAGCTCAATATTAAGTTGTGCAGATTTCCGATGATGGGAAGCTTCCTTGGCCCTGGAGGCGGCAACCCAAGCAGCTTATTGGAAGACCTTTTCATTACTAGGAGGAACGATATTGATATGATGACAAGGCAAAGACTGAGGATTAGAGCAACGCTATCATCCATTCTGAATTGCTCTTCTCTGGTAATTTGATCGATGGTGCGTTTTGAGATGGGATGTTGTGAACAGCAGCTAGCACTAGCTACTTATTGGTAATTTGTTTATAATATATATCCATGTGCTTGCCATCCAGATCCAGCTGTACATATAGTGAAGATCATTACCATATATATATATATGGTGAAGATGCTTTATAGTAGACAAATATACCATAAGTAGTGTGGCATTATTGATTAAAAGCTAGTATCCGTATAAATAGTTGGGATTCTCCGGAAATTACAAGCTAGTATCCAAATAGTTGGGGATGGTACCCTTTAGTATATGAACTTCAGTGATTTCACAAAATGATCCATAAATTAAATCCAACCTTGGGATTGCGAAACCCAAGATGGAAAAAAAGAAGCTAATATATGGTATTTTGTATTGAAATTGTGTTAAATTGTTTCACATTCACACCACAGCAAAAAATCACCAACTTATAAGGCATTTTTACGGCTGAACTGCCGGTACTATTTGAGAGGTCTTATCTTATATATTCAGTACTAGCTAGGAGGAATGATACTGTAGGCATAGGCTCAGGATTAGTGTGCGTTTGAGATCAGGCTATATATAAAAATGCTTACTATAGTAGTCAGTAGACAGCAGACACCTAGCAGGACAACTCATCTTTCGCCTTAACTAGTGATTCAGAACCATTGATTTGATTGTCATTAAGGTCATGGAATTGCTCTTGATCGATGTCGTCGGCTATGCAATTGGTGAGTTGGTGTGAGAGGATTAAATGGCGAAGCTGAGCGACTCCCATGTGATTGCCAGAATCCCTAGAATTGTAGCCATTGGTGCATTAAAACACAATTTCAACGTGATGGTCTTCAAGAGTGGTTCTATTCGAATTGATCGGAGTTTAACATTCGATACAATCTTATGTCTTTCGCCCCTACCAATGTCTAACTTAATTTCTTTATCGCACCAATCTGTGGCTGGGCTACTATTTAGTCAACAAACAGCAGCTGCCAGCCACTGATCGATAGAGTCTATTTATTTATTTATTTACTAACAGGCCATGCTAATTAATTACGCCATTATGGGAAGATTAGATGAGATCTCTTACACGCAAAAGATATGATTCGACCCAATTCCACCCGGCCGACTATTAAAACATTCCCCATTAAATATGGTTGGGGGGCAATGGGACCTGATCAGCACAGCACAGCTAGCCGGCCAATGGTCTAGTTATTGGTCTCATCATAAATTTGATAACCACATCATCATGAAATTGATAACTGCCTAGATTTTTTTTTTTTTTTTTAATAATGTGATATCTCATAAATTTGAAAATTATCAAAGAAAAATGAACAAAAGTGATATTTAGACATTACAAAATAAGATCGAATACCATTATGATATGTTCTTTGGTCCTATATATATAACTCCTAAAATCTCTTTTACTATTGGATGACGGACAATTCTCATAGTTTGGTCCGGAACGAACAGTTTTAGACCTCTACTTGTATCGTGAACAAGTGGTCTCATGGTTTTCAAAATAAAGATAACAATTCCAGACGTGAACTTCCCATTCCCTTTGCAGAGAAACATTTAATAGTGACATTAATTACCTAGTCAGCCATCACTCTTCTGATTTCTGAATATAACGTGCATGTCTCACGCAACTGCGCGCAACTAGCCAACTACTATTCTGAAAGATACATATAATCATAATAATCGTTTATATAATAACCAAAGAAATGAACAAAAGGAAGGAAACAAGATAGCATGCATTGGGCGATTGATTAACTTGATAGTGCTGAAACTCCTAAAAAGATGGTGCATTTGTCGACTTTCAGTACTATTGGATCTAATCTTATTCCACTTTTAAGTAATTTATATTTATTGAGGAAAGCACGCATTGCCACCTGCGGTGTTTCAATGGCGTTTCGGGGCCATATATGGATGGTCGGTCGTTGCCCCTTCAGAGCAACCGCAACGCCTGTCATTTTCTTCTTCCATTCTGACGTGGCATGGGGTGCTGCATATTTTATGGTTCCAGCCCCTCTTCCATATAATGACAGCTTCCATTTAATGGAAGAGCAAATGAAATGGATAGTGGGTCACACTCTGTGGAAATGGCGATGTTGGTTTCGGTTAGGGATTGCAAAAGTCGATTTGGAAATTTTGGAGGAAGGAAATCGACTGGTGACTGAGTCGATTTCTTATGTAAAGGAATTTGGGCCTGCAACCGGTTGAGCCCACACTTCGACTGAGAGAAGGCAGCTGGGCTCAAGCCTTTCTCTTCGGCCCAAAGGCTTCGGTTTGGCCAGGAATGAAGAACTGCCTTCTTCGTCCTTGACTTGCACCTAGAATGGAAACAGAGCTCTGCAGAACAGAGTACTGCAGCACCAGCAAGAGAAAGAGCAGCAGAAAGTAAATATGCACAGCGAGATTTTTAACGAGGTTCGCCACTGGGCTACTCCTCGTCCCGGAATAGTACCCACTATTCCGAGAGACACTTTTGATTTTCTTGACACTGAAGAAAAGAGGAGAACGAAGAGATTACAGGAAATGTGAAAATCAAAAGGCACGACTCTAAGACCCGAATTCGCGCAGGAATTCGTTACAACCTTTGATCTAACTGATCCTATACCCCAGTGAGATCAAAGCCACTGTTTCCCCAATTCTCAGCCCTATACCACAGAGAATTCCCTTTGAAACAGACAACACTAAGAAACAGAGGAGCTCGAGTATAAATAGTCTTCCTTCCCTCGGTCTTTGCTTAGTAGCCGTTGTGTTTTGAAAGGTTGATTGAGCAGGCTCCCCCTTGATTGATGCTCTGATTTGATCTTCTTTCCTTTTGTGTTTCAATCCAATCCGTCAACTTGATCTGATGCATTTCCTAGTCCAACACACTCCACTTTGTGTGCTTTCTATTTTTTTTTTTCATTCTTTTTGTGTGAGTTGTTTTGTGTGTTGGAAGAAATTATATTTGTGTTGGTAATTATAATCATTCCTTTTTATTCCTTTTATTAAGCAAACTTATTAGATTAAGTAAATTCATTAAACTTATGATCAATTAATTTTGTAAATTTTGAAAGTGTTATACCGATAAAAAAAGTTCACGTACGCTTATATAGATATAAAGATGTCTCAACTACATCCAAATACAAATTACATAGCAAATCAACAATACTTAATAAAAGTCATTACACACAAATTAACTGATACACACTTTAAAGTCTAAACTGTCACACAAAACAAATACACGTACTACATAAATTATTCAAACCATTAAATAATTACAATATATTATTTGAATTATTTGATACGTCTTAAATTAGTAAAATCATATAGGTTAGATATAAATGTGTAGATGTATTAAAAAGTAAGTTGGACCCACCTATGAAATAGATAGTGGATTTCATGGATGTAGAGGAAATGGAAGTGATATGTAGTGAAATGGAAAAAGCTGATGATGTGGCATTAGAGGCCACATATGGAATAGAAATGATATTTCATGGATGTGGATGGTGTGAGTCCCACCTGCAACCAAGCCAAGCCAAGCCAAACCAAGCCACCCTAACCCTACCCTACCCTGTAGATTTAATTTGGTGTTATCTGATTATCATATACGTACAGATCCACGACCTGCTATATGTATGCGCTTGCTAGCTCCTTTTCGTAAAGTTCAGGACAACTCAAAAGGGGAAGAAATTAAGTCAGAAGTGCTAATTAATTAATTAATTAATTAAATAAGTGATCGAGTTGAGCTCAATAGCAGGGCTGGAAGTTTGGTACCGGTATTTGGTATATACCAAATACCGTATCGAATTTGTCTATATTTAGTATTGCCGAATACACGTATTATTTTGTGGGATTGAGATTGGGATTGAATTTCAATTGTTATTCGGTATTAGGGATCACGGGATTGAGATCGGATATATCGAAATACCGATCAATACCGAAATATAAGCTTGTGCATAATTTATCCTTTGAACTAGACTCTCTCATTCACTACTAGGCGACCCTTAACTAAGAGTGTCATTTAATTATACATAGATCATTTAGGGATGGCAAAAATCCTCGTACCCATAGGCTTTTAATTATCCAACCCTGTTGGGTTGGCTTTGGAGTGCAAGTTAAATTCAAATGGGTGAAGTCAGATGGGTCCAACCCCATATCCATTAGATTGGATCTACTTTGAGTTTACCCATGGATTTGGATAAAACAATCCAAACCCAAATAATTAAAAATGAAAAAACAAAAAAACAAAAACAAAAACAAAATCGGCATTCTCTCTTTCACTTTCATCTCAGCCGAGACTTCTTTCTTTCCGAGCTCTGTCTCAGTAGTCTACTACCCACCGGCCACCGCCGTCGCCGCCACGGTCATCGCCGCCATCGTTATCCCCTCCGACCCACTGGATCGCACCCGCTCCGCCATCGTTGTCGAAACCCACTCCATCATTCGATTCGAAACCCAGTTGATTCGTGAGAGAATCGCAACTCACCAGAGATCTGATCCCTTCCTCCAAGATCCAGCTCGAGCCTTGGAACCCACTGCCTCCGTTTGTCTCTTCAGATCGAGAAGAGAGCGGAGCGATTCGTGGTTAAATCTAAGACCAGCGACAACTATCCTCTCTCACCCACCATCACCTCCTTCATATGTGCTATCCCCTCCGCCATCACTGTCGTCCTCCATTTGGCCAGCTGTGCTCTCTGTCTCATCCGTTCGTATCCAGTATCCACCATCGATGACCGGCAACCCGCCACCTCCTTACCTAGCCTCCCTGTTTTTGTCGGCTCTAGTGAGTTCTGGGCACCTCCCTCCTGTTTATATTATTCTTTGCTGGAATGGAATTGAAAGGTTAGCTTGTGATGTTGGCCAATGGATGTGACTTTGATTGAATGGATAGCTTCTACGTTTTTGGGCACCAGCACCCCAATGATAATTTATTCATTTATGTATCTCAATAATCATGTCTTTTAGACAACTCTTAATGATGTAGCTTTAC